GTGTGGATGTTGCAGCAAAGCCTAGTCACCCAAACAGAGACCAAAAGTGTCAGACAGCCATCTACCTCGGTTGCTATCCCAAATTGCTCCCAGTCCATTGATATTTTTAATGCACTAGCTCAAGCAGTGCTAGCATGTTTCTATCTACCTCAGTGGGGATGTACACACTGCCTGCTGCAATATAGATCTACTATAACACAGATCGCCTATTTCCCTGCAGTAGCCATATCCCCACTGCATCTTTTCTGTATCCTCAGGGCATAGTAGAATTTTGGGAGCAGAGCTAGACTGAAACCATTCTCTGCAGAATTCCCTCTTGGGGCTTTTCAGATGTCTTTGTGGAGATATTATTGTAAGAGTTAACACTGCCTTTAGGGACACCAGCACGGGAGGACAACTGCTCTGTTAGGAAGCTCTAAGAATGGTGAGAAGTACCTGATTTCCCTGTGGGTCTTGGGATTCTGTGTAGACCAGGGAACATTCCCCATGTCTCTTCTGTATCAGCAACTTCCTCCTGCTAGTGCCTAGAAGCCTTCATGGAGTATTTGACTTATCTCCATGTGTGAGGTCAAAATTCTGGTTGGGGCATGGTTTGTATTTCCTCACATTAAATTCCTTTTATGTTAGCAGTGTTTACATGTACAAGTGGGGTGTCAGGGTTGGGAATACACCAATGAGTTCTATGGCACCTTAAAGACAAACAGATTTCTAAGCTTTCTTGTGTAAAAACCACTTAGATGCATGGAGAGTAGGGGCCCATTGTGCTAGGTACTGTACAAACATACAAGTTATCTGATAAATTTGGAGTCCTATCCATGCTTTAGATGCTGGAAGGAAGAGAGGTTTTTGTCTCTTCTGCCTCCAGCATCTCCTAGTTCCTATGACTCAGAAACTTAATATAACAACAGCCATACTAGGTCAGCCCAAAGATCCATCTAGCCCAGTATCCTGTCTTTCAACAGTGGCCAATGCCAAGTACCCCAGAGGGAATGAACAGAATAGATAATCATCAAGTGATCCCTCCCCTCCTAGCCTCTGACAGAGACTAGGGTTGCTATTCCTGCCCAACCTGGTTAATGAGCATTGATAGACCTATTCTCCATGAATTTATCTCATTCTTTTTCAAACCCTGTTAAAGTCTCAGTGTTCACATCCTTTGGCAAGGAATTCCCCAGGTTGATTGGGCATTGCATGATGAAATATTTCCTATTGTTTGTTTTAAACTTGTGACCTATTTCATTTGGTGACTCCTAGTTCTTATATTATGGGAATAATAACTTTTCCTTATATACTTTTTCCATACCAGTTATGATTTTATAGACCTCTATCATATCCCCCCCTTAGTCTCCTCCTTTCTAAGCTGAAAAGTCCCAGTCTTTCTAATCTCTCTTTATATGGCCGTTTCAAGCCCCTAATCATTTTTGTTGCCGTTTTTCTGAACTTTTTCCAATGCTAAGATATCTTTTTTAAGATGAGGCGACCACATCTGTACACAGTATTCAAGATGTGGGCAAACCATGGATCTATACAGAGGCAACAAGATATTCTTTGTTTTATTCTCTACCCCTTTTTAAATGATTATAACCTTGTTGGCTTTTTTGACTGCTGGCGGTTTATATTTATACCCAGTTCACATTTGCAAGATCAGTGGCAGAACTAGGGAACTACCAAATTCCTGGCCATGAAAAACACATCAGACTGTGGAATCTAGTCTTATGTGTGCTTTTACCCTGTACTATGCACATTTCAGAGGGGAAACAAGTGTTTTTCAAATTGTAGGTCTTGACCCAAAAGGGCGTTGCCAGGGGATCACAAGGTTATTTTAGGGGGGTTGTGATACTGCCACCCTTAATTCTTTACTGCCTTCAGAGCAGGATGGCTGGGAGAATGGCAACTGCTGACAGGGCCCAGATATGCATGCAGAGCAACTACCAACAGTAGCACAGAATTGTAGCATCATAACCCCCCTAAAAAAACATTGCAACCACTATCCCCAACTCCTTTTTGGGTCAGGGACCCTACAATTACAACACCGTGAAATTTCAGATAAAATAGCTGAAATCAGAAAATTTATGACTGAAATTGACCAAAATGGACCATGAATTTGATAGGGCCCTTTTCATAACCATAAGGAGTTTTTTTTTTTAAATGAGACCTTTTATGGCACAGAAATCTGCGGCTTAGTTCTCTATAATCTCCAGGGAAAGCTGCCTGCTTACTAGGGGTGAATCAGTGAGCTGATATTTTCAAGCTCAGATTTTATTAATTCATCTTTTACAGTAAACTGTAGGTAGAATACATGAAGGTGTTACTGACATGGCAGAGCATGAAAACCGGATGGGAACATTACAAGCATCGCAGCCACAAGTGCTTTGTACAAGTCATCCCAAATGTGTGCTAATAAAACCTCTTTACTGTCCCAAAAGAGCATAATAAATTATTACGTGATCTGAATCACATGGAAATCACCTCCACCTATTTAGGGTTGGACATGGGTATAGGTATGTACATATCACTATATGGTTATTCATAGCTTATTTCCATATCCTGGTGCCACAACGATGCATTCATGTTTAATCACTGTTAAAATTCAGTCAGGAATTGGAATTATGGACAACATACCAGTGATCCAAACCTCATTGTAACTGTTTATGCCAAACAAATGTGCCTTGTACTAACAAACATTATGCAATTCTATCTAGGCAGAGGGCTCACATCTCACCAGCTGCTACACCTGATGTAGCAACCTATATTTTGTCGCAACAGTGACTCCTTTACTCTTTTCCATGTGTATTGATTTGGATTTTATAATCCTTAACGTATAATGTTCTTACAGGAATTGGCAAGACCCATTGCTGTTTTGTCCTCTTCAGAGTATGGGAGACACATAAACCAGCCTGTAGAGCAATCAATCAGAGATTATGCAAGGATCAACCGTGTGCAGGAAGAGTTCTACAGGAAAAATGGAATCACCTGCTTGTTGGAAAAACCTTCTCAAATCCTTGAACCATCCTGAAGCTCCTGACCCATAGCCACATGAAGCAGTTTGCACAGCAATAAAAAAGGGTTTCCCTTTTCCTGTAACATGCTGACCACCTAAAGGAGAGTAACTTCGATAAAAAAATGAAGCCCTAATTGCTGTCAATTTCATGCTAATGTAAACGGACCTTGACATTTCATTAAACTCTTGCAAATGATTTTCTGCACCAATTTTCAATGACATTAATGTATTTCGAAAGGATAGAGTATGTTTCTTCTTCATAGCATTTACAAACATCAACTCAAAATCTACACAACCATACCTATCAGATTAGTATTATTATCCTGATGAAAAAACAGAAAGAGGATAAGGCTAAGATTTTCCAAAACAGGTGCTGAATCTATAATCTGATCTGAAAATATATTCTATCTGGAAACAAAATTTGTTGAAATTTTTGGCAAACTGGAAATTAAAAAAAATCATTTGTGGGTGAAAATAACCTCAGAAGCTTGTTTCTTTCACCAACATAAACTGATCCAATAAAAAATATTGCCTCGCCTTTTCTCTTTGATTTTTTTGGACCAGAACATTTTATGTTTCCATCAACCCTGAGATGGGGGCAATACCCCTCAGAATGCCCATGTGACACAGCAAGGTCTTGTAGGCTTCCAATCCTCTTTCAGGCTATGTCTACACTATGGGGGTTTTCTGGGATACCAGAGTATCCAAGAAAAACTCCACCGTATTCTGGGAATGCATCTGCTCTTCTGCTTTTTTTTGTGGAACAGCAGATGCGCTCTTTCGGAAGCCTTGTCTTCCTCCTCCCACAAGGAAGAAGGGCTCTTCCGAAAGAGGCGGCTTTTTCCGAAATTTGGCCCAGTGTAGACTGGCTCGTTTTGGAAAAGCCTCTTTTGAAAAAACTATCGGAAAAAGGGCATGCCTTTTTCTGACAGATCATTGTAGTGTAGCCACAGACATGCAAGGATTCCCAGACCCAGGAACTGAAAACAACAGACTCCCTTTGTGAAGGTTCATTTATTCATTTTCTTTATGGAGTACAAAACCCCTCCTTATAGAGTTTTCAGATCTAAGCCTCAGGGTAAGAAGGTAATCCCAGAAATCATCTTCTCTCAAGTTCACTACTGAGACAGGAACGCAGAGCATCACAGCTAAACAAGTGGTGGAAGAGATTGTTTGGTGTAAATAGATTGAATAATCCCTTAGAATATGTGCTATTTAGAGCGGCCCACTAGCACCTCAGCAATCATAGAACAAAAAGCTCAGGTTAGCCGGTTACAGATCATTGTAATTAACCACAAATCCAGTGTCTGTTCAGTCCGTGATTTTTAGTGACTAGCAAAGTTATCTTGAATGATGCATTAACTGCTTATGCTAAACAATCTCTTCCACCTTGCATTTAGCCACAGTGCTCAGAGTATCTTTCCCAGATCTGAAGAAGAGCTTTGTGTGGCGCTAAAGCTTGCCTCTCACCAACAAAAGTTGGTCTAATAAAAAAATATTGCCTCACCCATCTTGTCTCTCTAATTAGGAGTTGAGCACACATTGATTCACCCATCTCAGACTTTTTGCTATTATTCAAAAAGCCAAGAAAAAAAAATCTTTTTCACAAGAACTATTCACTGACACTTAAAACTCTAGCAAAGCCAGACTGGTTAGTAAACACTGTTCCAATTACTAGTGGCCTGATTATCACAGGGGCTGAACACCCACAGCTCCTATCAACTTCATTTGCAGTGGTGACTGTTCAGCACGTCTGAGAAGCAGGCTCTAAGCTCTTTATGACCAAGCTTAGAAGAGAAGAGCAACAAGAATGATTAAAGGTTTAGAGAACATGACCTATGAAGCCAGGCTTCATGAACTGGGCTTGTTTAGTTTGGAAAAAAGAAGATTAAGGGGGGACATGATAGCGGTTTTCAAATATCTAAAAGGGTGTCACAAGGAGGAAGGAGAAAATTTGTTCCTCTTGGTTTCTGAGGACAGGACAAGGAGTAATGGGCTTAAAGTGCAGCAGGGGAGGTTTAGATTGGACATTAGGAAAAAATTCCTAACTGTCAGGGTGGTCAAATATTGGAATAAATTGCCAAGGGAGGTGGTGGAATCTCCCTCTCTGGAGATATTTAAGAACAGGTTAGATAGACATCTCTCAGGGATGGTGTAGACGGAGCGTGGTCCTGCCTTGAGGGCAGGGGGCTGGACTCGATGACCTCTCGAGGTCCCTTCCAGTCCTATTATTCTATGATTCTAAGCTCAACTCTGCTGTTTTTGTAAAAACCTTCCTGCGCCTGACTTTCATAAGCAGACAATCAAGTAAGAAGCATATCTAGAGGTGGAGTGGAGGGAGCACAGCTGAAAGGTTACCACCTTTCAGAGGTTTTCTTTCACTCTCATAATTTATATTTTGGTACCAAGAACAAAGTCTAATAAGGAAAACATTTCGCAGTACATGTTGAACCTCCCAAATCCAGGACTCTCTGCTTGAGCAACATCCATGGTCTGGGAGGGCCACGAATAATACTGGACCAAAGAGCCCTGGAGGCCAGGAGAACACAGAGGCTGGGGAGTCCTGGCTGGGCATGGGAACCCCGGCATTAGTGGAGCCGGGCAGCAGCTGGCCTGACCAGTGGCAACAACTGGGCGGTTGTGGCCAGGGATCCCCAAGAAACTTGCAGCAGCAGTGGGGCTGGCTTGGCAGCCCTGGCTGGGGAACCAGGGAAATCACCAGTAGCCCCAGCAGAGGAACCCCTGATAGCAGAGGGGCAGGCTGCAGCCTTGCAGGGGAACTCTGGGGAACCCCCAGCAACAGTGGGAAGGCAGCAGGGGAGAGCTCCAGGTGGCAAGCATTAGCAGGGCGCTGGGAAGGCAGGGAAGACCCATGGAGAGGAGCTGGTCGTAGGGCAGCCAATAGAACACTAACCTCCCCTGGTCCGGCAAGCTCCCTGATCTGGGTCCTGCCGGTCCTGAACCAGGGAGGTTGAAACTGTAGCAACTTTCACAAGAGCTATTGCCAGCCCCCGCCCCCCACATCACATGTGCCATACAGGTTACTTTTGGTGAACTATGTTAGAGCAAGATTTATTTAGTCCTCACATCTGGTCTGACTTCATTCACATTCAATTTTTGCTTGAAAACTACAAAAACATCAATGCATCTAACAAAGTGGTTTTTACTCACAAAAGCTTATGCCCAAATCAATGTTAGTCTTTAAGGTGCCACAGGACTCCTCGTTGTTTTTGCAGATACACACTAACACGGCTACCTTTCTGAGACTCAGAAACATCAAGCCATTTAACAACAGTACCACTTGTTGGGTAGTCAGAGAAACAAGAAGCAGCACCTCATGTTCGTAAGAGAAGTACTGACAAGATGGACCTGCTCCAGCTTGAATCAGGCAATTCTCCTAGCCAACAGCTGATCGGCCTATGATATCAGCTTCCATCACCCATTTATTAATTTTCAAGCAAACACCTTTGTTTTTTCACATGCTGCCCGTGATGCTTGAGAGCAGCTCCCGGCAAACATCTGCAAACTATCATATTATCCTTCTTCAAACTTTCTCTTATCCTTAAGATGCTGGTGTGCTGATGCTACAACCATATCATGCTAGCCAGTGTTGTCTCATTTTCTTGTAGGTTCCTGTCTGTCTCCATCTGTTGCCTCTTGTCTTACACTCAGATTGCAAGCTCTTTTGGGCAAGGATAGTATTTTTGTTCTGGGCTTGTTACGTGCTTACCACAATTGGATCTTGGACTATGACTAGAGCCCCTAGAAGTCACAAATCATTAATAAGGGTTTTAAGGCTTTTCTTTTGCTCCCCCTCACTTCAACTACTAAGACTTCTCTCACAGCCTAATCCTCACCTTCACTCACTTGGTGGCCTGAAACACAAGCTCTTTTTTGATTGATGCTCAGTTCCATTTCCTACCTCTGTGAGCCAGGAGATTGAATGGTTGAACTGACCAAGAAAAGAGGTACAGGCTGTCAATCTGCCAGAGTGATGTGCTCCTACACCAATAAGAGTGGGGAGTGGCAAGGTAAGGAGTGGCAGAGGACAAAGCAAGGAGAAAGTACATCTGGGTAAATAAAATCTAGATGATCTTCCACTCAGGCAAATCAACCTCAAACTGTGGGGAACTGGTTGGCAGCTCTGACAGAAGTCTGCATTTCAAAAACAATTAAGAGGAACACTTAACTTACATCTGTACAGGGATAAAAAAAACCAAAGGTGGTCCAATTCAGCTGACCAGAGCATGCATGCTAAGCTGAAAAATTGCTAACAGACATTCAGGCTTGGACTGGACCCTTCCCCTTGCAGCATCCCAGAGCAGTGACTCCAGCTCAAGCCTGAACATCTACAAAACAATTTTTCAGACCAGAGCCTGAATCCTGTGAGTCAGAGGGTACGTCTACACTACAACATTAATTCGAACTAACTGAGTTCGAATTAGTTAATTCGAACTAAGCTAATTTGAACTAACGGATCTAGACTAAAAAACTAGTTCGAATTAGCGTTTTGCTAATTCGAACTAGCATGTCCACATTAAGTGGACCCTGAACCGGGCTTAAGGATGGCCGGAAGCAGTGCCGGCAGGGCATCAGAGGAGGACTTAGAGCGTGGAGATGCTGTCTCAGGCTAGCCGAGGGCTGCGCTTAAAGGGACCCGACCCCCACCCCGGACAGACAGTTCTCAGGGGTGCCCCGCTTGAAAACCAGTCCTGGCTTGGAGTGCCCGGAGTACCCACACTGGGCACATCACACCACTCAGCCATCAGCCCGGCTGCACTTGCCGCCAGCTGGCATCTTGTGTTTTCAGGCACGCCGGCTCCTGGGTGGCCAGGCTGGCAGCTCTCCTGCCCTAGCCGGCCACGTTCCTGTACCTAGTGCAGAGATCGTGGACGAGGTCCACGATGTCTGCACTAGCCCAGGCGGGTGCCTGCCTCTTGCGGTCCCGGGCAAGCTCCCAGGAGCCGCCAGCCTGGTCCCGGGAAGAGGGGGAGGGCTGGGGGTGGCATCAGGTGGGTGGCTCAATCTGTGCCAGGTGCAGGGTCTGCTGGCTGGGTGCTTGCAGGCTTGCACCTGGCACAGGCACCGTAGCCAGCCTGTGCCCCTTTAAGGGGTCCGGGGCCGGGAGGGGGGCAGACGAGTTTCCCTAGTGTTGGCCAGAGTGGCCAGCAGGGAAACCTGGGGAGGGCTAGCCTCCCACTAGTTCGAATTAAGGGTCTACACAGCCCTTAATTCGAACTAGTAAGTTCGAACTAGGCTTAATCCTCGTGGAATGAGGATTACCTAGTTCGAACTAAGCGCTCCGTTAGTTCGAATTAAATTCGAACTAACGGAGCACTAGTGTAGCGCCTATGAAAGTTAGTTCGAACTAACATCCGTTAGTTCGAACTAACTTTGTAGTATAGACATACCCTAAGTCCGGTGACCTGGGCCAGCTGTGGGTTTTTGCGTAGATATACTCAGAAAAAGAACTAAACAGAACCCATGTTAGAGGGAAAGGAAGCTTTAATGAAATAACAGCTTTTTTGTTTTATTTTAAAAATATAGGAATTTCCCCTCTGACTTAGGTCACCTGGCATTTATAGCAATTAGGGTCAATCTTGCTTAACTGTGTATGCTGGCTTTACTATTTGCGCAAGTAACCATACATCACTGGGATTCCCCACTGAAATTATTGTCTGTCCTCATGCTGAGCTATGTCTCTTTCATACATCATCTCCAGCTGTACAGATACTGCTCAACAACTCAGTGCCCTCAGTGCCACCTGTGTGACTCCATTAGCTTGCAAGGAGTGTTCTCTATTAGAGAAATAGTGTTGACTTGACAATATCAGGTAGTTAGGAATTCAAATTTCATCTTTAAGAATAATTCTTCATTTTATTGGGAAAAACAGCTTTATAATGAACAGTAAGTACTGGACTGATGGCAGTCATACATTTTTCTTAATAAAATAATGTATTTGAAAGTGTTTGATCAATGGATAATTGATCTTTATTGGGGTCACTGAACATTAAAACCAATATCATCTTGGGTTTTATAAAATACAACTGAGAAATCTAAAACGGTGAGAAATATAAATAAGAGCATGGGCAAATATGAATGAAATGTACTGATTTTTTTTCACATTTAAAAATCCTGGTAAGTAGCAAACTTGCATACTTTATCACATTACTAAAGAAAATAAATACAGATTTAAATTACTGTAATAAACCACACTTTTCTTTAGGATACTTACATTTGTTTCATAATTATTAAGCCTTTTGATTCACATTAGAGGCACATTCTATCCTGCTTTACATATTGTGGAAAACTCTAATAATTCCAGTGTTGCAGAGTGTAAAATAGGGCATACATTGAAACAGTGCAACTAAATTTATTGTACCACTGAGAAAAACTCTGATTAGTAACAACTTGGACATCTAACAGCTAGTTTCTCATGTATTTGCCCATTTATAAGCATATCTCTGTTAACTCTAAAGGACAGAGCGCAATACCCAGGAAATTCAGCATGAACTGTTTGCAAGCATTTTCCATTATTATTCAGCTGGAATAAGTATTCACACAAAATCAAACAAATTCTATTGCCCTTTTTAATTCTTTGTTCATGTATCCATCCAGGAACTGGAGGGCCTCACATTAAGAAGCCATAATCATCTGATGAGGAGTTACTTTGAAAGTAGAATGTTTTTTCCATGTGAAATATTTACACTTCACAGTACCTACAGGTACTGTAGTCCAGTCTGTACTTAATTATTGTTGCATTATATCACCAGTTGAGCCTGTAGGTATGAGGAAAAATTTTCTTGTGCAGATATTCTACTATATCTCTGCTGTTTTTTAAAGCCTCAATCTCAAAAAACGGAATCTGAAAGTTAGAGAAATTTTTGTGAGAAATGGTGTTCAATGAACAACTGCATTAGATTCAATATTCTTAATAGATAAATAATGTCATGTCATAAGTGATGGTAAGCTTTTAAACATGCAAATTAAGCTTGCAGTCCTGCAAACTGTCTATGTAAATAGATCCCATTGGTACTGAGTGTGGAGTTTATTGTAGGATCAGTCAGTTAAAAAGCTAGGTGCATAAAACTGGCTGATTTAACATTCTCCAAAAATTAGGTAAATATGAGCAGCAAGCAAAATAAAGAAGATGACCTAGTTGTGGGGACACTCCAGGAATAGAAAAAGGATTTTTGTGTATTCTCTAAAAATAATCTCAGTTAAGATCTTTTGAAAATAGGAAAGTGACACATTTAGGTCCAAATCCTAGACTCATGGAAATCAGTGACAAAATTTCCACTGAAATCAACGGGAAAACAGTCATAGAAGTTGAGTGTGCTAGAAATTTGCAAATGGCAGGCAGAAAAAATGAACTAAAAATAAAGAAAAGGAAGCAAAGCAGAAGAGACCAAGGAAGCATCACTCAACCAGCATAGGAAGTGCTTACAGCAGTAGCTTTATTATAAATTAGCCTTCCATCTTTTTCTAGCTAGGGAAGCACTAGCTATAGCTTTAGCCTTTACCTGCACAACGTCATAGCCAAGTAACTGCAAATGTCTTTGTTTAATAGCTTCTTTGCCTAGAAGACTGTGGCTGTTGCTGCAAAATCTTTTCTGACCATCAATACACAGGGCTATTCTAAAATCAAACACAAAAGTGCATTTTAAAAACAATATTATCTATTATTAGACCTATTCTGTGGGCTCCGAAGAATGGGGTAGGGGGTACTGCCTCTTCCCCATCCCTTTTTAGAGAATATGGTACCCTAGCGGGACAGAACCAATTGGCCAGAGTGGAGGAGCTGGTACCGTGACTGGTCTCTACCAGGGTAGAGAGATTTAAATCAAAGTCATTTAAGGAGCTTGTTTGTTACAACGTTGATGTAAATCAGGCTGAGACTTCCTAAAGTTAATCTGAAATAATATTCAGGAATTTTAGAAATATACACTGAAGCAAATTATCTAAATTGTTTATTTTAATGCCACTAGTGGAGGAATATCTTATTTGAATCTTAAAACTAATACAGGTAAAAATAAAATATTGAAAACAAGTCTGATTCTACAAACCTTTAAGCTGGTAGCTTTACTTATTGTTACTTAAAGTTAAACATGTTTATATGTTTGCAGCATCAGGGAAAAAAAAACTGTATTCTTATTAAACATTTCTCATTTTGTCATTCCACAACAAAATGTGCCTCATCTTTCACAATGAGCAGTTTTGAACAAATGCTTCTAATACATTAGTAAGCTTATAGACAGGCCAAACTTCTCAAAAGTAAAAGTCTAAGGGTACGTCTACACAGCAACATTATTTTGAAATAACTAGCATTATTTCAAAATAACTGCCTGCTGTGTAGATGCAGGCTAAGTTATTTCAAAATAAAGTCGAAATTCTGTCAAGTTGAAGGACTTCTTACTCCGACTCCTGTAACCATTATTGTACGAGAAGTAAGGGAAGTTGGAGGAAGAGTGCTCTATTTCAAAATAAGTGCTGTGTAGATGCTCCCAATTTTGAAACCAGCTATTTTGAAATAAGCAATGTAATTGACGTAGCTCAATTTGCGTAGCTTATTTCAAGGTAAGCCCTGGAGTGTAGACACGCTCCAGGTTTAACCCCCATTTATACAGTAAGAGGTGGGATTTTCAAAAGCATCTGCATGACTTAGGAGCATAAGACACACAGATATCAGGCTACAAAGTCTGATGGAGGAGTACAACCTGGTCAAAGCATCTCAGCTTTCTTATGGAAGTTCATTTGCAAATATAGTACAGGTTCCTTGCTTATTATTAATTCTCTGAGGCTGTTCTAGTCTCATATTAACTATGTTAATGAAGCCTTGGACTTATTTTTTTTCAGAACAGATGACATTTTAAGGATGACATTAATTTGTAGAAAAAAAATCTGTACGTAAAATCTGATATTTAGAACCAATTAGGAAATTAAAGAAACAAGTACTAAACATCCACTTCAGCATCTTAAAAAGTATAAAATGGAAACAAAAGTAACTATTGGAAGTAAGTAAAATAATAATTTAAATATTATTTATTTATTAGAAATTTAGTGTTATCCACTCTGGCTCCCACATAGTGAAGAGTGAGCTTCTTGCCTGTCGCTCACCACCACTCACAATCTGGGTCTATATATGATACATTGAAAATCAAGGTTTTAAGATACCAGGTTATAAATATGGCTTCACTGCAATCAATGGAAAACCTCCCACTGACATCTATCTGGCCAGAACTTCACCCTGAACATGAACACTGACAAAAAAGGCAAGGTAATGTTACAGTCTGATAGTCTTTGCTTCTAGAGTTTGTACAGATTGGACTTCCCTCGTCGGGCACCCTTGGGACCTGACCGGTCCCAATCAAGGGGATTTGCCGGACCAGGGGAAGTCCCTCCCAACATGGCACATGCTGAACTCCTGTCCCCTGCTAGGGCTCCAAACCAGCATTGCTGCTGCCTGACCAGCTGTGGCTCCCTAGCTGACGCTGCCAGACCCTGAATTCCGCAGCCAGGGCCAGAGCTCCACAGCCGCTGCTAGACCACAAGCTCTGTGGCCAGGGCTCCACGGCTGCTGCCAGACCCCAGCTCTGCAGCTGAAGCTCCGCAGCCCTGCTGGACCCGAGCTGGGGCTGGAGCTACAGAGGGAGCCAGAGCTTCACGGCCACTGCTGACCCCTGCTACCTACCAGCCACAGAGGGCAGAACCCTCAGCAGCACTGTCTGCCCCACCGCATCCCCCCCAGATAGGGCTACCAGCTGTGTCACCGCTGCTGCTGCCACCTCCCCACCCCTCTGTGCTCTTGCCCCACGACCCGACCTCCTTATTCCTCGGCTCTGTGGTCCAGGAACATCCCTATTCCTGCTAGATCATGGATGTTGCCAGACCAGAAGTCCCGGTTAAGGGAGATACAACCTATAGTTCTCTTACCTCCTGTACACCTCCTCATATTGGGTGGCAGGTAATACAAAACCTTCTTCATCTAATTTAATCTCAACATCTGGGTTGGGGGAGGGAGAAATTGGAAAGAAAAACAAATGATTATTGTATGCAATATACACTGCTTATTGTAAATCAATTTCTCGTTAATACTTTTCCCTGAATAATAGACAATCCCCAAGAATGAACATAGCTTTCTACTGCAAATTACATCTATCCATGTACCTATCTAAAAAGAGGAGATAAGAAGAAGAAAGAAGTGGTTAATGATTACAGAATAAACAAGGCAGACAAGCATATGGAAAATATTTCTAAAAAAGATATAAAGTATGCAATTGGTGGGTATGTATGACCCAGGCAGCCAGCAATTACCACAGATAACCAAAATGTTCAGTTTTCCAAGACTTTAATCAAGGAATGATTCCTTGGCCTTATGCATACTTGAAGTGGAGAAATTTCTGACAGTCAAGACAGAATATGACATATCTTCATTTTTCTATAGCTCTATCGCCTGTGATAGGAGTCTATACCGCAGTATGTTCCTTTCTGTATCTCCTTTTAACTACCACACTCCTCACCTCCTTCTCAGTAAAACATCCTTTCCACCTAAAAGTTTAAAAAGAGTGAGCTCCTTCTAAATAAGATTTATATGTGACCATGCAAATGTGAGGTTACCTTTCCCGCCTGACAAGATCATCTGAAGATAATTTGAAAACAAAATTTTCAATAGAAAAAAACCCCTCAATTTCAGTGGTTTTTTTTGCACATGTATCAGCACTGTGCCATGAGTCAGTTGAGAACTCTGAATTTCAAATTATAATATTTTGATAAATACTGTTTTAAAAAACTTTAGTCTTAATTTTGTCTGATTTCTTTCTTTTTGTTTTTTGCTCTGAGATCACAATATACATCTTATCTAAGTTTTAGAAATGTGTATCTGTCTGTCAGTCCATCTGTGAGTTCATTTATTCAAGATCTCCTCCTAAATGCTAAGTGCTAGGACCACCAAATTTGGTATGTAGCTTCTTCTTATCATAACTTAAAGGAAGATAAGGCTTGGGCTGTTCCAGGACAATGGAATGTGCCTGGAATTTGACTGTTTCTCATAAAATGGAACGGGAGGAATCTGGCAGGAAGGATAGTTATACTATAGAAAAGGGGTCAGCAACCTTTTCAAACCAAAGAGCCAAACTACATCAAAATTCAGAACAAGTAGTCAACAAAGAGCCAGTCTAAGAATGCCCATTTGCATGGCTGAAAATATACAACTTAATATTATTAATTGACATTATGATTAATAATAGCATAAATGAAACATTGTACTCAAAGATTTTATTTAATGGGACTTCTGCTGCTGTATCTTTTCACACATTTCTTTGAAGTTTACATTGTAACTGGTCAAATTTAGCTTCATGCACATATTCAGGCTGTCTTCTGTCAATCTTGAGCGCAAATTAACCTTTGTTGTGATTCAAATGCGAGAAAGACTGCTCACAAATATAGGTGGAGCCAAACATTGAAGGTAAGGCCAAGCTGACATTCTCCATGGTGTTGTGACAGGAAGTTCTTTCCAAGATTGCAGAATCAGATTATCAACGTGCTCCAATTTCTTCACGTCAGTCCGTTTGTGTAGTTTTGCCAATTCTACATGTTGTTGAGCAAGGCATTCTAAATCAGATTTCAGCTTGACAAAATTTTCTACCCCAATATCCGACTCCTTGAAGTCTTCTCTTTCCATTTCCAAATCACTGACTGAGATACCTAGAATGACTGTCATATCCAGTTCTCCATCGGCTGCTTTGTGTGGACGAATCATAAACTTAAACAGAGCACTGTGTTTGCAAAAGTCAACGAAAGGATACTTGAATGCCATAAGGAGCTCAGAAACAAACCTGGCAAGCTGCTTCAAATCAAGGCTGTTGTTTGGATTCTCTCTCTGATATGAATCACAAAACATTTGTAATCTTTCAAAATGTGCCAGTTTGTCCATCTCAATATCTTTGATGAAGACGGTCAATTTTGACTCAAATTTGACACTCTGCTGCAGAGTCAGGACAATATTTTCTTGCCCTTGTAGCTTAAGGGCTTCTCCTCTCGAATAATGCTATATAAGCCTGTAAAACTTGTGGAGTTTAAGCTTTTACCTTGACCATGCCAACAGGCTATTTTGACCATGCCAGCAGGCTATTTTGTTCTATGTTCATTTTTTGCTGCAGCTCCTCTCAGGCTTTTTTCCGTGCATCACCCTCAGGGTATTTTGTAGCAAATGCTGCATGTTTGTTTGGGAACAGTCTCTCACTACAAATGAGACACTATGGAGATCCCAGATATATCCCCAAAGCATACGAGTGTGCCCACTCCTTTTGAAAATTTTGGTACTTGTCATCTCTCTTTCTCTTCACCATTTTTACAGTTGGGGGTTCTAGAGTTCAGTATGATGATGGAAAGATTTCTTGACCAATCAAATAAAAAGAGAATATGCATAACCCCCAATGAGTGGAGAGGATGAATGGTTGTTAAAATGAACAGTTAAAGGTAAAATAGACAAAAAAACCAACCCATCTTGACATGAGTAATTATGCATCTTTAAAATGTTAAATTATTCAATTTTTCATTTTAATTTTAAAAGCTGTTTGTGTTTTGGCAATGACAGAAGAGCCATATTTGGCTGTAGAGCCATAGGTGGCTAACCCCTGAACTAGATAAATTCATGGACGTTAGGTCCATCACTGGCTATTAGCCAGGATGAGTAGGAATGGTGTTCCTAGACTTTGTTTGTCAGAGGCTGGAAATGGATGACAAGAGAGGAATCACTTGATAATTACCTGTTCTGTTTTCCCTCTGGGGCATCTGGCACTGGCCACTGAAAGAAGACAGGATACTGGGCTAGATGAACCTTTGGTCTGACCCAGTATGGCCATTCTTATATGGAATGTCTAAGGGGATTGCCTGTGATTCCATCTGAAAACTATGGTAGTACTTGGGAGTTCACATTTGTTATTTGGTTGATTAAATCTAATTACAGATAATATCAGCAGTTTGGAGTGTCTGACATGCTTTTTGAGTCTGCCTTGAATTTGGCACTCTCAGTCTTGAGCCACTCCAGATAATGAGATAATAACTAGAGAAGAGTAAGCCTGGAAGGGACCTCAATAGCTCATCTAGTCCAGTTCTCTCTACTTTAAGAAATGGCAAGGTCACTCACCTAACGTATAGCAATATGGTGTCAACACATGTGAAGCAAAATACATTCTTGTTCCTAGCAAATCAACTAGTCCATTCTTCACCCTGTTGTAGAGGTGAACATCCACTGAGGACTCCACTGAACGGCCTGGTATGAGAAAGGACTTTACTCGATATTTTGGAAGGAGTTTAGGACCCTATCAGAAGAGCAAAGAAAAGGAAATATTCAAACTTTCTCTTAGATTTTACTTTTTTTATAAGTTTCTATCCACTCTGTTGTTACCTTAGTAGTACATAGAAACATTTCCTACATATGCAGGTAATTAAGAAACTAAAAATAATGAGATGGGTTAAGTCTTTTCTTAATAACTAGCTAGTTATTATTTTAACAGAGTGTACACAATGTGCTTCAGTATCTTGTTGAATCAGGACCTTAACAAACAGGATACAGGCAGTCCCCGGGTTACGTACAAGATAGGGACTGAAGGTTTGTTCTTAAGTTGAATCTGTATGTAAGTCGGAACTGGCGTCCAGATTCAGCCGCTGCTGAAACTGATCAGCTCAACTTAAGAACCCCAGGCATCCCCAAGTCAGCTGCTGCTGAAACTGATCAGCGGCTGATTCCAGGAAGCCCGGGGCAGGGGCTTCCTGTAGTCAGCC